ACAGTTAATAAACAATAATTATTGTTTCACTGCGCCCCGCTAAATGCGATTAAATGCCTAATAAAGCTCCAAAACGAAATCCAGGATAATTACCAATTAGTCAGGCTATTTTTGCCGGAAAAAAGTTACAATATAAAAATGTTATTTTTACTGAGGCCGATCATCAGTAATTTTGTCAAATCAAGTAAAGTCAACTGGTCTTGGCACCGCTCTTCTAAAATGATTGATCAAAAATGACTTATTACACTGCAGTGTAATAATACATGTAAGGTGAAAATATCACAGCTTATGGCTCGGACAAGTAAACTTAATGTTTGGTCGTAGATTACAATTCCGTGCTTGGTTTAGCTGTATCAGGTCAAAATTAAAAGGATGGAGCATCCCATTAAAAAACACCCTGTATAAATTTAAAAAAAAAATTGGTTGGACCCCCACATCAAAAATAATTCTTGCAAAATTTCAGTTTAACTGATCAAAAGGAACACGTACGTGTCCCTGAGATTTTTTTTAGATAATTTTGCAGATTTTTTTATTGAGCCTTATTGAGGATATTAAATTATAAAGGGTGTCCCATTAAGACCGCCTATTTTAAAATTTAAAAAAAATGCCGTGTTTATTTAAAAAGTTAAGATATTTTTATTGCAATAAAGAGGGAAGACATGGAGGTTAAATATGGAACACAATATCCGATAAATGGCCGCCTCGTGACTGAGGGCACACGTTGATTCTTTTGACAAAATTTTCGATTACATTTTGGCATAGTGCCGGCTCAATTCCATCAATGACCCGTCGAAACTCATGTTTTAGTTTAGGAACTGTTCTTGGGTTATTAGCATAAACCTTTTCCTTAAAAAAAAACCCAAAGAAAGAAATCTAACGGCGTCAAATCGCATAATCGGCCTGGCCACATCACATCCTCGCGGCGCGAGATAACTCTGCCTTCAAATTTTGTCCTCAATAATTCCATGGTTTCGTTGCTGTGCATGGTCTGCTGTCTTTAAATATTGTTTCAACCAATCTTGTAAGCATGAAAATGCATTTCTTTTGCCAAAATTCGCTGTAAACTGCTTTGAGGGAGTCTCAATTGCTGGAAACGGTGGCGAATCGAGGAGGAAGAATTATGTTTAACACTTTCACTAACTGCTGCAATATTTTCAGCAGACCGAGCTGCACGAACACGGACATGTCTCTTTTTGGTTTGAATTGACCCAATCGTTTCAAATTGCTCGATTAATCGGACCACAGTACGGCGAAAAGGTGCGTTATGGTGATCGAAAAATCCACGAAAAATTCTCACCATTTCGATAGTGGATTTTTACAATTTCTATGCGTTGTGCGTCCGTGTAAATCTCCATGACTTAACCTCAATGTTCACACATGACCACTGTCCAACAATAACGCTGTACGATTGACAGAAAAAAAATGACACTAAATTTAAAACAAGCGGTCTTAATGGGACACCCTTTATTATATTAAACGAAATAAAAATCATAATCATGTTTGCACAAGAGGTGAAATATATTATTTTACAAATATTAATATACCATGGTACCAGTATATAGTGTGTCCCCCTATTGCAATAGGATAAACTTGTTAAGACCTAATATAGCTAAACCAAGCACGGATTACGACCAAAAGTTATGTTTACGTGTCGAAGCGTTTAGCTGTGATATTTCAATAGTTGAAAATGTACCTAGTGTTATAAGTTATTTTTAAATAATTGTCATAGAGAAAAAGCAATCACTAATAACACTATGATAGTTCAAATAACTAACATTAAATACGCCCACCTATAGGTATACTTTCTTAAAATGAATTAGTCAAAAATAACTAATTATAAGTCATATTTGACTAATTGTCATAGCGAAAAAGCAATCACTAATAATTAGTCAAATTCTACTGAATGAAATAGTCAAATTAGTAGATTTAACTTTAACTATTTGCGTAGTCAAAAATAACTATTTAAAAGTGAAAACTACTATTTTATTAGTAAAAAATGCTGGTACTAATTCAAATAATAGAATTTTGACTATTTCATTTTAAGAGAGTATATTACCTAATTTTGGGCTGAAGATTTAAAAAATGCCACTCGTTTTGCTCCAGGACATCTAGGATTCGAATTGTGTAATAAAATGCTCTGTCCAATTATTTTCAAATGTAAGTTTTTTCGTTATTATTTTGCTTTAAATCTATTTTGGATGTACCGACTACCCGCCAGTTTCACTACTATAAAGCTTTAGACGGTTCAGTATAAGCTTTCAAATTTCATTAAAATATCATAAACGGTTTTTTTAAATCTATTTTTTATTTAAAATCTCCAAAAATTTCATTGTAAAAAAAATTGAAATGAAAATGAAAATTTAAAAAAACTGTTTCAGGGTTTAATTATGGATAGTGACTGCTTTATACTAAAATATATTAATTTGAAATGGGGGGTCCACTTGAGGTAAAAGTCTTAAAATTATCAAATAATTAACTTTCAAATCAAGGATCTTTAAAAACACCACGGCGGTATAGCGCGCTATAAAGAAAATGAAAAAGTAAAATGTCAAATTATCGGCAACAAACGCGAATTCAATTTTACAGAGGCAATTTATAAGAAATCAAAAAGTCCATTATAGTGACTTTATCGCTTTCTACAATGGAGAGTGTCTATCATGACGCGGAAAGGGTTACAGGGACTGTGGAACGGAAATAAAAGAAAAAGTTACAAAAGCGACAGAATGAAATAACGCAATTGAATGTCGACTACGGTCTTTTTGCAGCTGCCCAATTCCTGCAACACCATTCCCACAATTGTGCTTTTTTCTCTTTCTCTTATATCACTCTTTATCAAACATATTTTATCAAGTGTTGATCTGTTTCAAAAGTAGACATAAACATAGGAAAAATTAAGTCAAGAACCTTGGAAAAGGGGCGAATTACTGCACACAAACAGAATTGATTCGAAATTCGCGCCATCATTTGAGGCCTTTATTGTCGCGGGTAAGTGGATTACTAAATAGAGATCTATGAACACAATGCCAGTAGGTGAAATCCAAACACAGAATATTCATATTGAATACATTTACCAATTCAAGTAACATCTCGCGTTGTGTTGGGTCGCCTGCCACTGTGGATCACGTGCAAATTTGCGCTTTTGTTGCCTGATTGAGCACACACGTGACCTGAATGCCGGCTTTATGCTCCTTGTCAATCCTTGCTTTATTTGTATTATGTAATATTCGACGCTCGCCGATGCCAAAAGCACCCGATTTCATACGTATCAAACGTCATACTGCAAACCAAACTTTCTTTTACTCAATTTTTGGACACTTTTAATGACTGTATGCAATAAAAATGGAAAGGATTTGAATGACCTATCAAATTATTGCAAATGTAGAATATCAGAATCCCCAAAATTTGCAAAAAAGTTTCGATAAAAATGTGGAAAAATTATGACACAATTTTATTTTTTTATAACCAAAAATTCATTTTGTATATGAGTATGAGAACGTATGGCTGGCCCCATCGGCATCGCTCTACACTGATCTTCCAGAGTTATTTTTACCATCTTTCAGTTCTCATACGTATCCCGCAACTGCACAGCATTACCTGTGTGTGATGGATCCGAATTTTCACCCCGGCTGATTAATCTCCCTTAGGAGTTTTGTCGCCGTGCCGGACCATACGCCCGATTTAGGTTAGTGGAGTGCGGGACAAGGAGGGAAAACATTTTGATTTTTGTGGGACATTGGAATGACAAAACTAAGTACATTTCGGAATCCAGAATCCCCCTAAACCAGGGATATAGTAATGCCCCCATTCAATTGGGGTTCATGAATGGGGCTAGGTTGGTTAGTTCGCTGCTTGGACCTTTTCTTGATGGTCTTGTAGTACTACCTGTTCGTTTGCGTCCGTGTCTGTTGAAAATTACTGTGCTGTAAATTCGGAAACTGCTCTACGCAAATAGTTTGCCCCACTGTGCGAAACCATTTCTTCAGTCCAGGGTCGAGAACTATCGATATATTTTTTCGGTAGTCGGCAATGTGACCACCGATAGTTATCGATAGATTTTAATTTTTTTAATGATTATTATCAGTAAAGGAAGTAGGTATACAAATTATTAAATTAAGACCTTTTTAGAGATGTGTTGGCGTGTTTATTGTTGTTGTGTAGGTGACTGAACTTTTGTTTATGTAATCATCTAGTTTTATTACAGGGTTTTGTAACGATTTATATTACGAATAATTACATTTGCTGTCTTGTTTTAGCTTGGCTGTTTTGTTTTCCTAGTTTAGATTCTTTGAAGACGCTTAACCTCTTCGAGAGGGTTGGTAGAAATTGTAAGATTAATTTCTTACTTGCTGATTCTGTAAGATTTCGGTTGTGGTACAGGCTCTAATTTCGCACAGAAACACTTAAATTGCCTTACAAACTTAACTACAATGTGTGCGGTTTACTGTTTATGATAGGCTTTTTTTTACTTCCGTACTCTTTACAAGCGTGTGCGTCTTACCTTATGATGACTCAAGTCGCACTGACCTTTTAAGTAACTTTTTAAACAATAACTAATCATCTGATTAAAGTGAAGTTTTGACATCTTAAGAATCATGTCATGAATGTGTTTAATGTTTTTAAGGTTTATTACATGTAAAGGCAAAATAAAAGCAAAATTATTAAAAAGAAACTTTATTTTTCTATAACAGCTTTACAATATTATCTTCTACGATCGTTATTCTCTATGGACAAAATAACATAATTTGTACTACTTACACTTATAATGAAAACATAACAATATCTTACAAACAAAAAACAAAACTAAGTATATACAAAGACGTGCAACAATCTTCCTTAAAATTGCACCGCCCAAAATTGGTCCTTAATAACGCGAAAAACTCAGTTGCCATTAAAACACTTGCTCATGTCGCACGGGCTGTTGCTGTCCCTGGAATTATTCTCGTTGAGGTTGGCATTCGTGTTGGAACTTGTGGCCAAGTTGGCAATATCACTAAACCAGGTGCCAAGGTTCAGCCGCTCGGGCAGAACCGGGAGCGGTTTTCATATAACGTGTCCGGGAATGGGGTCGTTTCTGAACTCGTCGTTCTTCATGATTACGCACACGGGCCTTTTTATCTCCTCGGGCGAGGGGGTTCTGCGGGGAAATGCAGGCGGGCATATGTTACAAGGGCTGTTTACTGTTGAGGTTAGGTTGTTCATCTGCCAGTTTATGCTCGGCGGGTACAAATGACTGTTGCTGTACAGTAGCGCCAACTCGGCGGCGAATTTGGTGTCGTCTGGATGCCGAAAGGGGTGGTATAAATACGGAAGAGGTGGGAATAAGGTTCTTGGCAACTTTAGATGATCTGATTCGGAGGATGTTAGCGGTGGTAACCCTGATGCCATCGACATTGGCGGCAATAGATTTCTGTTGAAACTGCTTTCCATTGAGGTTGAAATCAATGGCGAGAAGAATTTCGGTTCTTTTTTCATCAAAGGTTTTGGCTTTCTTCTCGGTCTGTATTTGTAATCCGGGTGTTCTTTCATATGCAGAGCCCTGTAACAATATAGATTATGAGTTAAAATTTATATACAGTGACAAAAGTATGGAACAAATTCATTAAAAAAATCGGCTTTTTTTTCAAAAAATCCTTGAACAGGTCACAACCCTAGTAGCAATTCCGGAAAAGCCTTGGCCCAGCATGGGTCAAGATACTTTGGACAGATTTTTACTCAAGAATTGTACAAGAATTGTTCCAGATTCTTGGCCAAGATTATTGGGCAAGACTTGAGCTAGACTGTGGCCAGAATTTGACAAGAATTTGACCAGAAATCTAAGGCTATCTATTGCTAACCTTTGGGACTATCCTATAAAGTAGAGGTTCTCATTCTACAGTAGTATCATTCACAATAATGTATACTAGTCGAGAAGTGAGTTCTCTGTAGGAAATGAGTATAGTTTTTTGTTTATGTGAAAATACGAATAAGAGCTTATTGGATTCGTCTTCTAGCTGAGAAAAAAATTGATTTTTTTGAAAAATAAAAATTGTTATTTCTAAAAATCAAAAATTAAAAAAAAATGTGTGTCAGCTCTGACGCATAACTAGAGTTTACTCTTTATGAACATGAAAGATTATAAAATACATGTTTATTTTTACGGGAACCTGGTTTTTTTAACATAGAAAATTAAAAACTTTAACTCTTTCAAAATTTGTTTCGTTTTTAATTCTATTGTTTACCAGATTTATGGATAAAAACCGAATTTACTGGAAAGAAATCGTGGAAAATTAATGTTTTTAGTAACATTCTTAACTTTTGAAGTTCAACAAAATTTTGTATTGACCAAAAATCTTGAATTGAAAGTTCCTATTTAACGTGTAAAATTCTTGGCCAAAAATCTGGTCAAATTCAGACTTGTCCAAGTCTGCCACCAGTCTGGATAAAGAATTTTGATCAAGAGTCTTGGTCAAGAATTGTCCAATTCTTTACAAAGTGCTTCTCCAAGTATCTTGACAAAGAATCTTGTCCAATTCCATTGCTACTAGGGAAATACCAAGTGTCGATATAAGGAAGTTTTTTATTTTATATTTCTTTGTTAGCATATAATTTAAAACAAATATTCACAACTAGATGTAAAAACTTAGTTGAGCGTTCTCCAAATATTACGAAGTATTTAAATATGGGCCACAGGGACAGGGAATTGAAGTTTTAACTCTCATAGGATGTGGCAATAAAACTAGAACACAACAAGTATCCAGCTTGACCTATTACTCGTGCTACGGTTGGTAAAATTGAACGAAAACTCAGAAGACTGACCATGTCAAAGATATTCCAAAACCTGGCCATCCGATTATTAGTGAAGACACTAAAATTGACATTTTGTTATGTGTAGAAAAAGATCCTCACAGTGATTCTAGCCTAGTCGCAGCTAAAAGTCAAGTCAACCAACCATTTCGTCTTATGAAGGAAGAAAAGTACCATCCATACAAAATTAGACTATTGCAGAAACATAACGAAGATGATCCGAACCGTATTCTACAATTTTGTGAAACTATGATGAATTTATATAAGAAAATCCTCGGTAGTAGAGGCAAATTCCCAATACCGGCAAAAAGTGAATGTCTGATCACTAATGGTGAAAATCGGATCATAGGTCCTTTCTTCTTTGACGAGAATATGACAGGACAATGGTATTTGTAATTTTTGCAAAACTTTCTTCTTCCCTCATTAGCAGAAATGTTTCCCAATGAGAATGGAGGTCCCTGTCCGTACTTTTTTGGACACATGTTTTCCTGAGAGGTTGATTGGCAGACGAGGACCGATAGAGTGGCCAGTGAGATCTCCAGATCTCACCCCTCTCCATCATTTCTCATGGGGCTACCTTAAATCCAAGGTCTACATCAACAAATCCCAAATTTAGAAGACTTAAAAAATAAAATTTGTGAATAATGTTGCTCTATTAGTGCGGTGAAGGTTCTCAGAGAATTTTAGGAAAGGCTTGCTTACTCTCAAGAAACCAACATGGAGAAATTAGAACATTTAATTGGTTAAAACTATCATCCCAAAAGGTATACATGTGCATATTGCTGAATTCAGAATTTTGTAAACTATTCCAATCTGCAAAAAAAGATAGGGTACAATTTAAAAAAACGTCATAGCTTCTACAAAAATGGCGAAAAATATGAAAATATTACATCAAAATATGCGGAATTTAAAAACAAAATCTACGTTTTCAAGGAATTTTTTAGGGAAGAAAGGCACTGTATAAGTAAAGTCTTGGTATCTTAGTCTTGCCAATCAAACAATAAATACAATTTTTATTAAGGAAATATCATTTAGTTGTGACATTAAAATTAAAGCGTTGTAATTGGCTTGGAACAAAGGCGTGCGCGGATGAAAAGGTCCTTTGTAAGGATCGGGATTGGAGACAGTGTCTGAATAAAGCGGGGGATCACGGTGAAGGCCTCACAATGCCGGCATTATCTTTTGTAGCCAGCTGAATATGTCGCTGGCTTAGATATCTACTATTTCTGTACCTTTATACCAAGTTATTGCAAAAACTAAGAGAGAAAAAATAACAAAAATATTAAAAGGTTTTAATTCTATAACAAAGAGTATTTGTCACAGAATTTAATTAGATGCTACAATTTGTCCATAAATGTAGGAAGTCAAGTTTAAACTACTTCCACAAAACCAATTCAGTTAAATTTTTGATTTTTTCCCTTAGCTGTTATAACTATATTATTATTATAATTCGTGTGCGATTTTTAATTTTAAAAAATTAGGGGTTTACCCCTCCTTTTTCTTAATAATTATTGACTAATATACTATAGAACATGATAAGGTGAGTAAAGAACATGATAAGGTAAGTAAAGAAAGCGAAGATTCGCGAAGCTTGAAATGAATTTGCGCGCACTTTCCCGGCCTAGCATTTTGGAGCACAATCGAGAATATGCTCAAAAATTCTTGCATCTATTGGCTTAGATTCTTGGCCCTAGAATAAAAATCAGTGGGACAATGATTCAATTTACTTCGGTTTGCTTTAAAAAATATTTTGTTTTGTTTTCATATAGTATAATCCGTTTACCGGTTTAATAATATATATATTATATACCGAAATTTGGGTACATTTTTAGTTATAGGTATTATTTTTTCCAAATGATATTTTTTCTAGTCTACAAGTTATACAGTACCTACCTATAAATTTCCATTATATTTAATTTTAGAGTGTTTTTTTTAAATAATTTATGAACGAGGTTCAGGATTGTTTTTAAAATAATACCATAATTTTCAAATTTTTGACTTAAAAATAAAATGCTCATTGACAAAATTTCATGGTTATTTTCCCTCGCGGTTTGTTAAAATATTTTTTTTAAATTTGGATTTATATATGCATACATTTTCATTAATAATGTATAGATTTAAAACATTTATTTCTCAAAAGCCACGTGGAAAAGGAACATGAAATTTTGGCAGTGATCATTTTATTTATTCATCTTTAAAAGATGACCTTTTGATAAAAAACATTTAAAAAACATGGTATTATTTTGAAAAACAGTCTTGAACCTCTTTAAAACATTTGTATTTACTCTGTGTAATTTAAGAAGACTAAGTTTTGTTCCCTTATTATAAGTTATAACTTATATTTAAATTATTTCTGTTATTAATATGTTTTTTATGTATCTATTCGATTAAACCATTTAATTTAAAAGTTTTTTTTATAAAGAAAAGATTTTAATACCCAGAAAAGGTAACCTTTTCGAGAATATTGAGAAAATATAGAATATTCTCGAGAATATTGAGAAAATTAAGAATCTTCTCGGGTTATTGGAAAAAATGTAATTTGACTATGCTGTTAATAAATTCTCGGGAATTTCTCGTTTTTGCTCAACTTGTGTTCCCCAAATATAAATGCTCGAGCATTTTACATCTCTATAGTTGTAGCAGTACTGATACAAATATTGTACCAAATTTCTTTAAAATTTTATGATTTCAGAATGGTGTGTTATTTTATTGTGTGTATGTTATTTTTCTGTTTAGGAAATTTATTAATAAAGCAACATTTCTTATGAAAATTCTTTTCATTTTAGTTCCCAATTTCCAACAAATACTTTTGTCACTGGGTCTAAAAAAAGTATTGTAAAAATAGGGTCCTTTTTAAAAATAACAAGAATTATGGTTAAATTATTGACAGGATTTTGTTATTAAATCTACAAAATGTATGTTATAATTACAAACTACTTATTAAATTAGTTAACAGATTACAGTTTGTTGTAAACTTAACAACAAGTTATGTGGTGGACCTGAATTAATATTTGGTTAAAATTAACAAATTTTTACTGTGTACATAATCCAATATGACGGATTACCTATTTCTTCACAATCCCCTTGACATGGGTATCAAATGAAAGGTTTTGTCAAGCAGACGCGTTGAAGTCATTCTAATTTAAAATGATGGATACTAAGTAACTAAATTTTAAGACTAAAACGGTTTTTATATTTTGGACAGCAGAATATGTAAGTATAACTCTTAAATAACAATATTTATGTTTGAACAGTGCAAATTTGCCTTAAACCCCCTTATTATAATCGAAACACAAAACACATAGAGCCTCTCTATTGATGGCACCTTTGTTCGGGGCTCTAGTTTCTAGTTGACTCCGCGAACAATGCGGTGAATGGAACGTGCGACAAATTCGGCGAATCTCCATTCAATTCGTCATCCATATGAAAGGGAATAACACGGCGGAGAGACAATCGTCGCGAACGATGAAAACAATTAACCGGCGCGCCGCTAAAATTCCACGACCGCAGCACCTCAAGTTCCCACACGTATTACGGGCTATGTCGACAGGGCTGGATTTAGAAAATCTGCACATGGGGTCCTGGGCCTGTTTTTTGACACATTTGGCAATTATTTGGGGTTTTTATTATCTCAGGTGTTTAAGGAATTTTTCAGTAGTTATTTAATTTTTTTTTATATTTTGAGTTTGATTAAATTTTGAGGCCGGTTCTGGCTGACATGCGTTTTTTTGTTTTTTTACCTTTTTTTTCAAA